CGACGTCACCGCGGGGACCGGGGAAGGGGGGCCGCGACGCCAGCGCGCTGCATGCGAGCGGCAGCGTGTACGTGCAACAGCGACGTACATTACATTCCATTACATTACAAAATTTTTATTACTAAGCAATATCATAGCCGCTATGCTATTCCTTAGTTTTATAATTTACGCTATGCCATAGCATTTTGTAGCGAATAAACCTGATATAGTGGTGATAGACAGACAAGTGCACCTCATCATGATAATCGATGTTACCGTTCCCCATGATGAGAACTACATGAAAGCTAGAAATATTAACAAATAAAATATCTACTTAGCTCACGATATTGTCGACATGTGCAATCTGGATTCGGCTATCATTGTGCCCATAGTTGTGTCAGCCAAAGGATTAATCCCTAAAAGCCTCGACTTACATCTTAGGAGCCTGGCGTTAGGCAGATGAATCAAGGGCCTGATACAAAAGGCAGTTCTCCTTGAAGTGGCACATATCATGAGGAGGTTTCTGTCTTTGAAGCCCTAACCATTGGTAGCTTGAATCATGCTCCCGCTACTGGTTGGCTCCTACTTTTATATTCTTAAATATTATTTTACACCTTATATTACACAGGATTTGTTTTTAGGCTAAGAAATAAGTGTTGAATATTGCTCCTTAGTCTTCCAAGAAGAAAAAGGTGTTAACTGCTGCTATTTTATATTCCACAGTGGACATCAGGCTGAGATGAGGCTCCAAGTGGGAGTCAGAGCGGTCAGACTGAACCCAAGGACAAGAATGAAAAATACAAATATAAAAATTGACCGCAACACGGATTTATCCTCCACGCCTACACCTAATTTAGAAATGTAGTGTCATGCAAGTATGTAAGCTAAGAATAGCACTGTGTTTACAAACCAACTGTTTTCGGCAATGATATATGATAATAGACTATAGAATAGCACTTTTATATCTCTTTAAAAACTACAGATTGTTTTGTGGTGAAATAAATGTTATTAGAATTTGTTGTGATACAAATCAAGTTATATAACATCCAGATATTGAAACACTATTCATTCCTGTTTACACAATATGTTTGGGCCGTAAATTGTATTGTAGGTATGTTAATTTATCATAAGTGCTGATCATGATGGCTTGAATATGTTTCTCAGTTTGCATGTACTGTCTAGATTCATTCCCAGTGACTAAATAAGCCTCTAGATAACTAATAAACTGGAGAATACTGAGAATAGATACTGAGTCTTTCATAGTAGAATATGAGTAGTGTTTGAGTATTTGGATAATAGTGTCTTATTACTCTTAAAGCACAACACTACAGCCTTGCCCCCTATCACATCTAGACTGAATACATATACACTTGATATTGAACTTTAAAATGTTGTAGTGTGGTTGAAAATCATAGGTATACATTTGGTAAAAATATCTAAAGAGTTAAGGAGTTTTGGACTCTATTTGTGTAGAATAAGGTTCAGTATTGTATAAATCTATATTGCATATTTTTTATTCACTTATCTGTCAGCAACTGCAATATAAATAATAAGATATTTTTTATTATACATGTAACAAAATGTAATCTTGTTTGTCTCTGAATTTCTGTAGTAATATTAAAATTAAATATGCATATTGCCCCTTCATTCACATATATATGTAAATAGGTGATTTATTGTGAAATTAAGTTATGTTACTGTTAATTTATATTTAATGTGTTACTCAAATGTATATTAGTTGTTGGCTTGTTTAAAATATCATATTATATTATTGGATATTAAGGGCCTGTTTCACCATAGGTACTGTAATAAATACTAAATATATGAGACATAGAAAACACGCTGTGTCTCGCGGAGATCTGCGTACGAGGTAATTTCGGCTATTCATATTTTGACAAAAAGAAATATGGAATTATCTGCTACTTCACATACGACGCCTCTAGTATGGTTTGAATTAGTCGAGTTCCTCGTCAAATAATTACGTGAGTAAGCCGAAAAACATGATCATTAATTTAATGTCTCACGAAAGTTAATTTAAAAGTTAATGGTGAAACAAGACCATACTGTTCTTTAAGCGTTAATTTTTTTTGTTTCAAACTATTTGTTTTTATTTACATTTGTAATAAGTGTATATAAAATGTTAGATATTGTGAATATTATTATTTTTATGTCGTAGCCACTTTGCAAAATAGTTGCTTTTACGAAATGTATGCATAATTATGTCAGATTGAGATTTAAAAATGAGTATTAAAAATATTGTGGATAAAACTTTGTATTGTAAACGAGATGGTATATGTGAAACGTAAAATTTTACTGTTTTGCTAAAATAATTGGCCTACTAGATGAAAAATGGAGTCAGAATGTTACTACCGAAACTCGATATCGCTTATGCACAATCGATAGTACCTGTTTGTTGGAATGCGTGAGTTTCAATAGTAAGGTTTCTGACTATTTCACTCGAATAAGCTAACTTACCTATTGCTCAATATTACAAAAAAAAACTAAAGTATTATACAATCTTTTAGACTGTTGTTATAAAACTTATAAATCAGTATTTTTGCTATAAGAAATAATGTAGAATTTAGCGATGTGGCTACTACGTACGCACTGAATGTAATGGTATTTATATTATTATAAAAAAAATGTAATTATATGTGTTGAATACAGAACTGGAATTTTTATCTTATCTCCCTGTTTCTGAACATGTAGGGGACACTATCAGTCATACTTTGTTATGATATTTTTCACGCAATCTATTTTTGTTTGAGTGTTTTCGATCGTGATATTCCCGTTGCCTAGTGATCAAAGACCTTTAACTTTTAAAGCATTCGTGCAGACATGGAATTGTTTTATCAACAGCCAAACTTGGTACAGTTCAAAGATATCATTTTGTTAGATAAGCAAAGACTGTTAGGTAAGCAAAAATATCTACATCTCGTTTTTTATGCGACATAGAGCAAGCGATGATGATGATGACCAACCGCAACACCAGAGCAAAGAGTTTAAAAAGTATAGGGGAACCAGAAGCGTTTCAAATTTATTACTAGCTTTGGGGGGATGGAAATTGTGCTTCTTTTTTATATAAATGGGAGACCAGTAAACCACCCGTTTGAGTCGAGTATTGCAAGAGAAAGTTCTATGCGGGGCAAAAAACTTGGATCATGCGTTTCTCGCACTAATTCTCTTCTATTTACCTACTCAATTTATAATTATCCTAATTTGAATGCTTGGCATTAAAATATATTCAACTAGGAATATGGTGTGGGGTGGGACGGGGTCTACCTTTTGAAGCAGAACTTTTTCGTCACAATTTTATTTTGCATAACATAATTTTCATTTCGCAGAAAGTTGTTTCGCATACACTTACTTGTCCGAATCAATGTTAGGTATAAATTTCATGTCCATAATAATTGAGAAGCATTACCATCATATCGCAAAAAATTAGTACCTATATTTTTCGCCACTTATTTACGACGATAACATTGATTGCTACATCTTTGTGATCAGGCGATAATGAAATCATTAATTATTTTTAGTGGGAGGTAGTTATGAGTAGTAGTCAAATCATTTTATTGTGAAGGTGAAAATTCGTATAATAAATTAAATATAGAAAAGTCAGAAGTAAGTCAATTACAAGTGTTCAAAACACACAAAGGAGGAATTAAGTTAGAAATGGAAGGAATAATTAAATTATCATTTATATAATGTACGCTCATTGAAAAAGTTAATTGTGCATGTGGGTATTTTCTCAATAAAACAGTAGTGAACGTAAGTGGTTTTTAATTCCCCATAAGAAGCATTTACACATGCAAACGGCGCGGGCCTGCGGACGGCGAGCATGGGTGGCTCCCCGTCCGACCAGAAACAGACCCGAGCGTACGGCGCGTCGCGTTCCGCGCGCGCCTCAAAGAGCCATCAGACCACCACAGATGGGGCTCAATAGGCCCGATGCCGATTCGGAGTCGCGTAGAACCTAACGGGTAACCGGGGCTCCGGCCCGACGTGCAGGAAAAGGAACGGGGTGGTTTTTAGTCAGTAAGAGTCTGACACTCCCTTCCGCCTCACCCAGGCGGGAGCAGTCATTCGATGATTTTCCCCCCTTAAAAAAAAAAAACATGCAAACAAGAATAAAATATGCAAAGTATGCAAGCTGGCATGCGACATGGAGCAGGTATGCATGCGGCGTTCAAGCAGACATGCAGCATACAAGCTAGCATGCAGCATGCAAGTAGGTACTGCGGGGTTTGGGCGGCCCCACACGAGCTTATCGTCGCAGATGGTTTTAACTCACCACCACACAGCTTCGGTTTGCCAGCCTTGAAATAACCTACTGGTGATATTTGAGGAGCCGGTATTTTTTGCTTTCCCTCTAAATAAACATAATGCTAAACGAAACTATGTGTACCTAATATGACAATCGTTTTTATGCCAAATAATGTTTTGTCGTGTTAAAAGTATGCCGTTGCAAATTCGGACATGTAAACATTCTTTCAATCAATAGATATGCTAAATAATTTTTATGCCTTGAAAATTTTTGTTGAAAGATGAAAGAAAGATAATAGAAGTAACCCATGTGGAAATTATACGTAGGTGCGATAGCCGAGTGTGGGTCTGGGCTTCAACTTTAGGGTCATGCCAAGTAATTATGGTTTTTCAAAAATTCATAGTAGCAAATGATGGTACCTACTTCAATAACATAGTAATACAAGAAATGTTTTAGTAAAATGAGACTGGATGGAAGTATTATTACCGCCGGCAAGGCACCTATGATTCCTCTCGTGTTGGTCCATGGGCGGCTTACCATCAGGTGATCCGTCTGCTTGTTTGCCTCATATTCCAAACGAAAAAAAAAGTTCTACAAAATAGTAAAATGGAACGGAACGCTTTTGACAGAATCAATAATCCGAGTTTGCCGAATTTTCTGTCAAAATTGACAAGTAAAATACACCGCGTTTCTCGGTCCTCGTATCGGTTTGTTGTGATATCTCGTTTTGTATTAGTATTATTACATAAAAGGAATCATGTCTGACGGCAGAGACGGAGATAAGAAGGTAAAATATAGTTTATTATCTATAGTGTCACTGAATTATGTTTGTTATCGCACGAATGCCAATCGGTTTGTTAGACGCATTTATTTATCTTCCATGACCTTGCTAAGCCTTAGAGGTCGTCAATGGGTCGCATAAAATCACTAAGATTTGCTTCTATCTTCAGCACATGCCGTTGTCATGATAATCAAGCAGTTTTACAAATATTTAATCACGTTTAGAGCAGCCAACCAACCCGCTTCGCACTTGTGCCTTTGACATTAAAAAAAAATAGTGCGTAAAATGTTTGGCGCCTATTTTTGAAACTGAAAGTTCCGCTTCCGAGTTGGCACGCAATAAAAACAAACAATTTGTTATGTAATGTTAATTTTACAAAGTCCAAAAATATTTTAATCTATTTATGATATCAATGTGGGAACATTTAATGTTGGTTTTTTATGACTTGATTGATTACTTATTTACCTTAAAGAGGCCTTAACCTTGAGTTAAGATGATTTAAAAAAAAATATGCTTCATCATTGCAAAGAAACTGTTTCTACGGAGTCTAAAATTAATTCTAGATTTTGTTTACTAGAGGCAAAAGTAGAAGGACAAATTATTTAAGTATAATAATATTTGTTGTGAGATTAACATGCTAAGTATAATATTTGGGATTTATTTACTTACATAATGCTGTATTATTTGATGTGTTTATGTAGTTGTCTGCTTAGATCTATCTTCTCTTCTTCAAGCAATAAACTAGTAAACTACTAAAAGTAAACTGTTGTCTATGGTGCTTAATTTCTTTTTTATTAATTAAACCTTTCAGGCTGATGACAACAGGCTGAGACCAGCGGTAAGCTTACTTGCTTCAAATCCTATGTAAATGTTTAATAACATTTATCATTTATATGTTTTCTTATTTGGTTTATACATGTAGACTATACTGTGGATAATGGTACTTGGTTAGATTTTGTTCCGTGTTGGGTTAAATAGCCGTCTCATAGACATTAAATTTTTCCACAAATGGGCATCACCTGGTTTCTTTCCTTTTGTTGTCTGGTCTTATAATTTTGGCATTATGTTATAGATTTTAGAATAAGTAGTGTTGGTATTACTTTAAAAAATATTGTTACTAACAAGCAATAATTTTAAAATATTTAACCCCAATAAAATTAATAAGCATGCCCCTTTTGCATTCTGTAATTTTATTCATTAACATATTTAATTTATTATTTATGGAATGGTTCATGAATTAAACATCATTAAAAATTTGCATCAAGCCAATACTTAAAAAAACTTCAGACAAAAATTACGAGATAAATTTTTCAAAGGCTGCATGATAAATTCCTTGTTCGCATGAGTTTCTCATTTTAGTCATGTCATTCATGTACTCATTGACACATAAATGGCGGGAATTACCAAAGAGGATTTATTTTAATACAGGAAATAGGAAAAAGAACATTTTTATTTAATTCATATTTGCCTTCCTTCCTATACCTTAAACAATTGAATTAAACAATAATAATATTACTTATTGCTTACTGGTAATAATATTACTTATTGCTAAAACAATAATAGTGTAATGGAAAAACCTACCATTCCATTTATGCCTATAAAACTAGATTACAATTACAGTCCATATCATTGGCAAATAAGTACTAAGAAACTAAGATAACACCAACCCTATAACCACATTACATTTCTCAAAATATTAATAAACTAGCGACTTCCGCGCGGTTTTACACGCTCTGCTCAGCTCCTATTGGTCGTAGCGTGTTGTGTTATAGCCTATAGCCATCGTCGATAAATGCGCTATCCAACACAAAAAGAATTATTAAAATCAGACTTGTAGTTACGGAGATAAGTGTGTTCAAACAAACAAACAAAAAAACAAACTCTTCCGCTTTATATAATAGTATAAGATTATTGAGATTGATGTGTGCGGCTGTCCAATCAGGGGATCGAAATTGCAACATGTTGCACAGTAACCGCACTGACTATGTGTTCAAGCAATTTTATCTTTATCAAAGTAGGTAAAACAGCCTACCTACTTATTAACAAAAAGGATTTGTGGTGTCATGTTATTACAAAATATTTTGTCATCGTCTGAATGGAAGTGGATTGTCATGCCTAAAATTATTGATAGCGTCATTATCTATACATCAGTGATTTCTGATAAGATTACAGATTAATTGGTGTTGTTTTTCAGCTATTTACATGATTTTCAGTATATATTTTCGACTTGTTGTCAGTTTGATGGAGGGAGTGTCAGTCTCTTACTGACTAAAAACCACCCCGTTCCTTATCCTGCACGTCGAGCCGGAGCCCCGGTTACACGTTAGGTTCTCCGCGACTTTAGGACTGACTTCTAAAATAGTCTGTGTAGAGTATGAGAGGACTTAATTTGTTCAGCAGTCGACAGTGAACGTGATATGCCTAATGATGATAATAATTATTTTCTATCAAAGTCAAAGCATTTATTTCAATGAAACCATAAATTGGTAATTTTGAAACGTCAACGTTTTAAAAAAATCTCAGTAGTAGCGGAGTCTGAAATTGTGCCCGGTATATGGCAATAGGGTCACCCCCTATTACATATTACATTGGGACTCACAACATAAATAGTGAAAAGTGGGTGTTACACTGTACAGCGGCATTAAGTGCCGTAAGGTGCGCCTCTGCCTATCCGTTCGGGGATAAAACGCGTGATGTTATGTATGAAACGTCAACAAATACAAAATAAATAATAGTCTGTCAGTCTGTAAGTCAGTAAAGCTAGGTGCTCATTCCAAAATGTGGATGAAGTAGTAGTTAATGCTACCTAATATAATTTCTAAAGGTTTTCAGTAATGCGATTACCAGCCGAGCCCAAAGACCCACCTATGTATGTACTCTACTTACAGTACCTACACATTTTTACGATTATACAAAGTTATGGCTTCATAACGTTTATTGTTATTAATTGAATAACTTTATGGTAATGTATTGCCTACATTAGCTTATGCAGAATAAACATTGTAGACATTTTATTTTGGTGTTCATAGAGGCGTCCTTTTCATTCAGTCCTGATTACAAATGCCCTCGAAAATGAGAGGTTTAACAATACCCCTACAAAAATATCTTTCTTTTCTGTTCTCTTAAAATGTTTAAACTATTTTTAGAAATTAATTTGAGGGAAGGGAGTTCGCATTCACTTCTAAAATCCGACTGATGTTGTTTGAAAGGAGATTAAATTTTGTTTAGGTAGGTACTTACTGGCAAATTTTCGACTGGATGGCTTTTTTTTGACACGGAACATATATATAAGTACACACCGTACCGAATTTTTTTTTAATATTAATAATGTTTATTCAGCTGCTGTTACGTGGATCGTAGTAAATATGAGTGTAAACAAATAATATTCAATAAATAATGACGTTTCATTAATACCTGTATTTTTTTTAATAATAGGTATGTCGTGTTAGTACATACCTGCCTAAGTATATGCAGGCAAATAATAATTAAGGGCAGTGCTGACTGCTGTGTCAGACAATATATTAATTACTAGCAACCCGCCCCGGCTTCGCACGGGTGCAATATGCATATATTACACATATAAACATTCCTGAAGAATCACTTTATCTATTAAAAAAACAGCATCAAAATCTGTCGCGTAGTTTTATAGATGTAAGCATACATAGGGACAGACAGACGACGGATTTTTTTTAAGGGGGGAAATATCGATTGTCTGCTCCCGCCTGGGTGAGGCGGGAGGGAGTGTCACTCTTACTGACTAAAAACCACCCCGTTCCTTCTCCCTCACGTCGAGCCGGAGCCCCGGTTACCCGTTAGGTTCTCCGCGACACAGACGACGGATAGCGACTTTGTTTTATACTATGTTGTGATTACTAGTTACTGCCTGCGACTTTGTACGCACAATCTCTTTTTGCCGTTCCCTTTCGTGATTTTCGGTAAAAATATTTTCGTATTGGATAAAAGGTTCTAATCTACGCTACCTCCCCATCAATGTTCATCCAAATCGGTTAGGCGTTCTTGAGTTATAAATACCTATATAGCTTTAAATACACATAGGGATAGGTTCTTTACTTCGCTGGAAATGGCAACCGATTTTCCATTATTTCACATGTCTTTTCAGAATGGCTAAGAGAAGAGTTTACATCTTTTCTAAACATTTATTTTTCAGGTTGCTATGGCCATAACTCACGCCCTTTTCATTCACTCTAATCGACCCACACACGCCTATTTTTATGTCCTATGAAGTGTCTACATAATTATATCTACCTGTAGTGGTGGGCTCGTTTCCTATTATCAGACACATTTAAAAATAGTTGGTATCGAGGCGCTAATCATGTAAATATATGCTTACAAGTAAAGATTTTATCACACTATTGCATCAGCCACAGGATAAACGTCACCTCCCTAAGTGGGTGTGTGATCAAATCCAAATCTTGATGTAAAAACAACATGATATTACTTATTAGTCTGCTACTAGGTAGCCATCGTTACCTTGCAGTTTTTGCTAAGCCATTGTAACATTTGCAATCTCATACAAACTTGCTTGAAGAACAAAGGTCCTCGATAACGGTGCTTCCATGATTACGCTAATATTAGCTGTTAGATATTATATAGGATTTAATGATTCAGATCTGACGTTTATTACATCAGATTTACCAACGTTACCCAATATTATTATCATGGAGTTTTTTGACACACCCACTTAAGTACTCAATAACTATAGTAAATAATGTTTGATATGATTACGTTGGCTGTAATCTTAGGTACCTTTTGGTGAAGCGTTTGGTAACCAGATAAACTATATCTGGATCGCGAGTAATATTGTAAATTTATTAAATATTTGCACGACTACTATTGAGTACCGCTGGTCTTTTGGATATTATTGGGAATTGTATTGGGAAAAATCCTGTACAGCGAGTGTATGAAGATTCTTATCTACTATATAAAAATAAGTCCAGTTTTCCTTCCTGACGCTATAACTCCAGAACGCACGAACTGATTTCCACGGTTTTGTATTCTTTGGAAAGGTCTCGGGCTCCGTGAGGTTTATAGCAAAGAATGTTACATAAAACGAAGCCATCTGGTGGCGAAACGGAGTTCGCCGGGTTTGCTAGTAATAAATAAATATTTTTTTAATAATATGTAGAAGTCTCAAGATAAAATATCTATGTATGGGTAAACGTGAACATATTTCCGTGAATATCTAAATTACAATTATTCTATAATTCTATCATCTGTTGTAGGCTACAATTATTTGCCAATTGAAACGGTTAGGTACGTGAAAATTTTAATAAAATTGTAGTGATGGAGCAAATTGAATTTTCATTTCTTTGAAAACAGTTAAAATGTGTTGTAAATCATAAATCATTATTAATAAAAAGAAAAGTGGAGTATAAAGGATAAAGCGAATGACCAAAGCAACCAGGATGAAAACAGATTCGCAACTACTTATTGTAAACGCGGTCAAAAGCAAATAAACGCTTGATAACAGTGCACTTATTCAATTGAATGCCATTTTAGTTGTCAAGGCTCAAATAAAGACGAATTAATTTATCGCTACATGCTCGCAGTAGCCACAGATGATTGTCTGTCAGAGACAATGTATTCAGCAAAGGATAAAGACGAAAATATCAATAAAAATTTGCTACGCACAAATCTAAATTAATTATTGAAACATTGTGGGGTGTCATTTCGGATGTATTTCAGCAACATATTTGAGTTTTGCGACGTAGGTATGTACCTATTGGAAGGCGAACATTATTGCTATACACTGCCTAGTTTCTTACCATTCAGCAATTACTAAACATTTTGAATAAAAAAATTAGATATAGATAAATG